TGAAATCAACACATACAGATGTTCCTACATCTAGGTGTTTTTGGCCTTTTATTTTATCCGCCCATCTGCACTAATTTTAGTCTAAGTATAAGTTAATTTTCCTTAAATTCTTTAGGTATGAATATCGAAGTAAGAATATAGAATATGTAATGATGGTAGATAAAATCAAAATAAAATAAACAAAATTGTAGGTCGGACTTCCAATGGCGCTCACAATGGGTCTCAGTGGTACATCCGGTTTATGGATCTTGGGCAGTCCGTAGAGCCTTGGTAGGAGTGCTTCTGATTTTTTGAGCTTTGCCAACTCCTCGGATGGAAATGTCATATCCTTAATTAATTTGTTCGTTGTTCTTAGTATCCGTGCCGTCGAATCCCGTGTCAACTTCTTGTACGTTGACGGGGTCAAAAGTTCTTTAATTTTGTCTTCGTAGTTCAGTGAAGACCAGACCACAGTTGCATTGCCCTTATCAGCTGGCAACACGATAATTTCCTTATCCTCATTCAGCGTTTTTAGGGCTTTTCTTTCACTGAAAGTGAGGTTGCTCTTCAGAGGCTTTGAGCGTTGTAAAATTCTTGAAGTCTCGGCCCTTATCTGTTCTGCGGCTTGAATGGGCCACTCTCTACATTTGATATGATGTCCTCTACTGGTAACCTGGACGGTACTATGGCAAAGTATCCCCCCTTGGACAACTCAAACTCAATCAATATTAATTATCCCTAGTTCTACCTACCATGATCATTGCAAATTTTAATGAAAAATTGAGAAAGGAACGGAAAAATGTAACTGAAGGCGAATACGCTGGATAGTTTTTGCGATAGCGTTAAAATTAACATACAAATAAAACCATGCTTTTGCTCTCTTGACATAAGTCGTTAAATATTATTTAAGAGAATAATCAGATTATTTCCGAAACCAGCTTTGCAAAGTATTGTGTATGGCCGCCTATCACCAATCAAATTGCCATTAGCTTTGCATCGTAACTTTGAATCTATTATTAACTAGCTCGTTCATTATTAAATACTCTTTCAAATAATCAGTGGCAAGTACATTCTGTTCTTCATAAAAATCGAAATTTTCCCAAATAACTATTTATAATGTTTGTAGGTAAAAAGACGGTTCGAATGTTTTTTTAATCAATTAATTATTGTTTATGTTCTAACTGTTGAAAAGAGCACACTAACGATTTTCGTGCTGATATTATATTCGTAGAAGAAAATAAACGCAGGGAAGCTTAAACATATGAAAGCGAAATAAAATATATTGCGTTGTCAGCAGTGTTGTAAGACGTTCGCCGTAATGCCCCAATTTAATAGTAATGAAGGTTACTTTGTGACTGAAAATATGTAGCGTAACATAGCTACACGAAATATATTTCAACGTAGTAAGTAATAAGATAGGGCCTTCATATAAAGCCCGTCAAGTGTGAAAAGACAAACGGAATTCTGCAAAATTTCATGCTTCAGAAGGAGTGTAGAATTATACATTAGAAATATCCAAACTGCCATAGTCTAGTTCGCCAATTTGGCCCTAATTACTGTGTGAAATGTGTAGCTGTTTTCATACAGCCACTACTCCACATGTATTCGTTATTTACAATCCAGTAATGTATGTATAAATCACTTCAAATAGCCTTCAAATACAGATTTGCTTCAGCAAAATTTTGTTATAAAAAGCGAGAAACAAGCGAATTAACTATTTATAATCTAAATAAAATATAATTCATTTAATTTTATCTTTAATGCCATATGTAACGTCACCTTCCCAAGCTGAAATTGATTGCTATCGCTTGAGAAGTAAAATGCAAAACCGAATGAAAAGACCGTAATAAAACCCGTTCGGTCTGATGTAAACTTTATTCCGATGCGAAATTAACAAACAGTACTAAATTGGAAATGAGCGCCGGGTGGGTGATAAACCAAAAATTCAAAAGCAAAAATAGGCGATGTAACCAGATTGGCGATACGGTGCACAAACTTGCTGGCGAAATGAACTCGACCAAATGTTACGATAAATTGAGATAGATTTCGAGCTTACACTAAGCCAAGATAAAACTTTTGTCATCAAAATGAAGAGAAAAAACAAACTAAATTGACATATGCCCGATGTGATGGCTGCGAAAACGTCGTGTTAGAATGATATATTGCACATAAAGAAAGTATATACTGGTATTATCGTTTATGCGTTAAACGCTTAAATGTTCCATTGATCGTTTGTGGCAGCTTTCTGATGGAACACGATAATTAATTGGGTTCTATTTTTCTGACCCAATTACTACACCGATTTGTTTGGTCTATTCGTGCTAACGACTTTTGTCAGTTGCAAATAATTCGAAGAACCAGTTTTTATTAAATAATGGTATATACGAGTAGAGAATAAACCAGAAGAAGGCCCGAATAGAGGTAAGCATCTATGGCACATTGGCTAACAAAATTCCATCAAGAATGGAAACAATTAACCTCCTACTCGGTGCATCTTTCGTGGATTCAGGGCCCCAGATTTCCTTTAAAACCAAACAAAATATTCAAAAATATTCAAAAACGGTGT